GGGTCTCCCACCTCCCAGCGGGGGAGCAGGTCTCACCTGGGGGCGCGCACCTGGCCGGTGGCCTGCTCCCCAGGCTACAGGGCGCTGAACGCTCAGAGACACAGTGTCTTCCATTAACCCAGTCGCAGCAAGGCCTGTGCCGCCTTCTCCTGGATCGAGCCATGAGGAAGAGGTAGGGCTGTATCTAGGCTGCCTTGCTCTATTCAAAACCCGAAATTGGTACCTTGGTCGTCTGTATTCGTATGCGGTGGGTCCCTCCACGAAGCCACATGTCTGCCGAGAGCGGGGAGCGTTTTGTCGCTTGTTTAGGACACTCCTGGGAAGGTGTCGCGCCGGCCTGGGATTAGACGGGGCGTCCCTGATGCAGGGCTTTGCGGAGCGAGTGTCCCTCGGCTGTGCATTGGGCAGCAGATGGCTGTGCTTGATGGTGGGTTCCCAGGGACGGTTTTTTAGGTGGACACCTGGGTGCCGATACCACGGGAACATGGCCCCGTATCTGCTACTCAACCCCCACATTTCATTTTATAGAATTGTTGCTGCGGGTGTTTTTTCTTCTACTCTTGGTGAGGGTCAGTTTTACCGAATATTATTGTCAGAAGGCTGGAAGGATAGGAGAAGAATTAAGGAACAATGAGAACTGAACAACTAAAAATATTTTACAGTCAGACCTCAGAGACGAGCAATAAAGCAAATCCTAATCTTTTTGCTGGTGGAGGGTCTTGCCTTCGATTTGTAAAATACACACCTGTGAAGAGCGGTAAAGCCAGGCGCAATTAAAACGAGGTGAGAGCCCGGCCGGCGTGCTCAGTGGTTGAGCACCAACCTGTGAGTCAGGAGGTCACAGTTTGATTCCCAGTCTGAGCACAGGCCCGGGTTTCCAGCTCGATCCCCAGTGAGGGGCGTGCAGGAGGCAGCGGATCCATGATTCTCTCTCATCACTGATGTTTCTCTCTCCCTCTCCCTTCCTCTATGAAATCACTAAAACTATATTTTAAACAAACCAATGAGGTGTGCCTGCACTGCCCTGAGACCTTCACTTTGGGGTTCCATTTGCCACGGTCTCCCCAAAGATTGTAGAACTCAGTGACTGCTCACGGGTGGATCCACATCTTGCTCCGTCACTTTCTAAAGACTGTCGTTCCTGCCTTTGGTCCGTGTGACCTACGTTGGAGTCTTGTCCAAATGGAAGCGCGGGCGGACGGAGGTGTGGGAGGCAGTGGCGGGCGTGACGGAAAGGGGCGGGAGGAGGGGCGGGCCGGGGAGAGAACAGCCAGAGTTTAGAGAGAGAATGAATGGAGCCAGCGAGCGAGTGGCTGAGCCGGCAGACTGTGCTGATGGCCAACGGATGACGCGTTACCTCCTTGACCCTGAGGATTCACGTGTTGCTCGTGGCGACCAAAAGCCATGACCGTGTCCTCGTTGGAGGAGCCCTGAGAATTCCAGCAGTAAAGTAGGAAGGCCCCGGGCAGGGCGTGGTAGTTTGGTGCCAGGAAGGTGACCCGGGACCCCGTAGATCTCCACGCACATTGTTTCGGCGTCTCCAACCCGCCCCCAAGTGGGAAATGAGAGACCCTGCGAAGGAGCAGGTGGGGAGTCCAGGGTCCTGAGGACAGAACGTGCCTCAGAGGCTGAGCCCCTAGGAGGCTGATGAGGGAGGGAGGGAGCCACCCTCAGCTGCTCGTGGAACACAGGCTCACAGCACCCGGCAGAGAACAAGTGGATCATTCGCTCGTTGTGCTTCTGTCTACAGCAGCGGTTCTCAACCTGTGGGTCGCGACCCCTTTGGCGGTGGAACGACCCTTTCACAGGGGTCGCCTAAGACCATCCTGCATATCAGATATTTACATGACGATTCATAACAGTAGCAACATTACAGTTAGGAAGTAGCAACGGAAATAATTTTATGGTTGGGTCACAGCATGAGGAACTGTATTTAAAGGGCCAGAAGGTTGAGAACCACTGGTCCACAGTCTCCCCCGTCCCCACCTTCTAGGCTCACATCGGTTCTGCCTTGATGAGGCGGGCGAGGAGCTGGGCAGGACCTCGGAGCCCACGAGCAGACGGTGAAGCATTCCTCGGTGACTTGGCCGGCACGACGCAGCTCGTTAGGGACAGAGGCAGGGTCAGCGCCATGTTCTCCCTCTCGGGGGCCCATCACTCTTCCCATGTGTCCCCACAGTGGCCGCCAGTCCTTCCCACGCTGCGCGCACACCGTGTCCATCCCCTTGGCTTGGTTGGTGACTGACCAGTGGGTGCAGGGGACGCGGCGTTCTGGACTCTGAGCTCCGCCTTCAGAGGTCTGGCAGCTTCCGCGTCCCCCTCTGGGGAGCCAGCCGCCATCTTTAATGAAGCCTGGGCCAGACCAGAGTGCTGCGGTGGGGCCCGATGAGGGGGGCGGTGGGGAACAGCAAACATGTGAGGGGGCCCAGCTGGTCCCCACCGAAACCCACGGAGCAGAGCTGCCCAGCCGACCTCTACCCCACTTCCCAACCCAGAGACCCATGGGCAGCAGCCAATGAAGGCCCTGCCCCCACCCCCCTCTGTTAATACTGACTTGACCATCACAATTAGGAAATCAGGACATCAGACTACGGATAGGTTTTAGAAGCCTTTTATTTAACATTTTTTATTGATTGATTTTAGAGAGAGGAAGAGAAACATCGATTTGTTGTTCCACTTATTTACGCATCCATTGGTTGCTGCTTGCGTGTGCCCTGACTGGGGATTGAACCCAAAACCTTGGGGTATTGGTACAACTCTCTAACCAACTGAGCTACCCGGCCAGGGCCTCAGAAGTCTTTATAGGACCTTAAAAACCAACATCCCACGTGTGTCAACAGCTCTTAGCAAGACGACGTGGTTTTCTGCTCTAAATTAGCGCGGACACTAACTCTGTCATCTGAATCACAGTTCATTCACTTGCTGATCAGCCAACCCCGAGATGGGCAGATTCGCTCATGCTCGGCATTTAACTGGAACAAAGTTTCCTCCAAAGCTTACGCTCGCCTGGTCCGATGCTGCATTTCAGACCACGGAAAACTCAGTGGCTCCAGACAACACGGCTTGCGTGGCTCCCGCCCTGCAGTCTGGGCGGGGCTTCGAGGGGGCAGCGTTTTCTGCGCCACTCGGCACCGCCAGGGCTGGCACGACACCTGCCCCTGTGGTCCCTCCAGCCTGGAGGGGGGTGCCTCGGGCGGGCTCGCACGCTACCCTGTCGGCTCCGGGACACTAGAACACAGTCCCCCAAAAGGGGTCCCAGCAGAAGCTGCGTCACTCTGCAGGGCTGAGCTACGATGCAATGGTGCCCTGCCCTGGCGGGGGGCAGGAGGGCCAGGTCGGTGCCGCCATATCTGGAAGACACAGCCCCACCCGCCCCAGCACCCAAACTCTGCATCTGAAGTTCACGCGAAGGATAAAATCTCCAGAAACTGATTCCAGGAGCTTTGATATTGGAAACAACAGCAGCAGCGAACGTTACTAATTGCAACACCTAGGACAGTCCGTGTTCCTTATCGACGACGTGGCCGAGGGCGACCACGTCTCTCCCTCTCCCCGGGGATTCGGCTGTGAACTGGGCGGCGCGGAAATGAATGGTCCCCTGTTATTGCTGTTCTGCAAGCCTCCCCACCTCCTTAAAAATTAGACCCACTGCTTGCGGTCGAAACAAGCAGGGCATTCATAGCAGCGTGGAGACCGTCTGACTGTGATCTGGCTCGGGCAACCGCATACTCGAAAGAAAATTTGTTTCGTATGCTCTGCAGCGAGTCTCGGGTGCATACTAATGCCTTGCGTCTCTGCATGCGCACGCACGCACCACACAGGCCACCCGCCACCGGTCCCTCTCCCTCAGGCCTTCCAGCCTCAGCCCAGCTCACCTGGGATTGTTTTTTGTGTGTGTGTTTTTTTTTAAACCTGGCAAGGCCACATCAACAGTACGTGATGCCTTTCTAACTGTTGCCTGGCAACGCCCGAAAGCTCAGGATCGGAAGGAAAGTGGGAACCTCCTGCAGTTCTGATAGGAATCACGCTGTGCCCAAGACTTAATTAGCCAAATTGAAGTCCGTGGTGAGCAGCAAAGTTAACATTTCTCCGATTGCAGAAACGTGCCCCAGGCCACGTACCAATTAGAGAGCTGCGATACA